ATATCTAGTATATGTATGAGTCAAGCGGAAAAGGTCAGATAATGTGATGTCAGGAAAATGAACCCTTAGATATGTATTTTAATGTTTTTTCTTTCATGCATGTGTTTCTAACGAATTTATAAGATTATCTCTTTGTTGCTTTGTATGTCCCTCCCCCACAGTATAACCCCTGCTTTCACTATATTTGATGTCAGTATAACTTGTGGAGGAGATGGGGAAAAACCAGTTGTTTAAGGATACAGGTGGATCTGATGCAACAATGAGAAGTACAAGTTGTCATGTCCAAAACGAGCTTTATAACGTCGGTGTGAGGGGGGGAAGGAGGTAGGGGGGAGGGGGGAAGGAGAAGGATTGGGATGGGGGGAGGGGGGAGGCTGGGAAGGGATGGGAAGGGTAAACAAAGGAGGAGGCTGCAATGCTTGGTAAGAAATGTACGCATTATCCTGCCCATGCAATTGTAACCCCTCTGTACAGTATGTTCACAAATAAAATAAAATAAAATTAAAAAAAAACATGTTCCAGAAGGAGGCCAAATTCCATGGCTACTTTTTTCAAATAAGGAAATCAAAGCACACAGAAGGGAACTAACTCCTCCAAAGTCAGAGGCACTGGGAAGGTGATGGTGGTCTCTAAATCTGTAACATCTAAGCTTCCTGACTGCCCCATCAGTAACACCCCTAAAAACAAGGAGCCCCTGGAAGGAGGAGGGAACATTGGTTTTGACAGATAAATTTCATAACTGGCACATATAAAAGAAACATAAAAATTTGGGGTTTTCACTGTCTTTACTGAGTTGTGCATCCATCATCACAATCAACTTTAAAACATTTTCATTGTGTTAGAAAGAAATTTTATACTCTTTAGCTGCCTTTCCAAACACCTAAGCTTCCCTAGCCCCTGATAACTGCTTATCAGCTTTCTGTCTCTGTAAATTAACTAAATAAATTGAGTTATACAATATTTATTCCTCTCTGACATTTTTTCACTTGCGGTAATGACTTCTTTCACTTAACATGATACACGAATTCATTAATCATTCATATTGTATCACCTCTCAGAACATCGTAGTTTTAATGGCTAAGTAGTATTTCATTATGTAGACGTCAACATGTTATCAGTCTATTTGTTGATGGGCACTGGAATGGCTAGTATAGACAATGCTTCTTTGAAGGTTTGAATGTCAATTAAGTCAAGGTTAAGAAATTAATATAGAATTTCTGGATCCTATGGAAAATATTTCAAGTCTTCCCTCAAAAATGTTTACTATTCCTTCTTACTAGAAAACATCATAATGAGTGTAAAATTGTATGTCATCTTAGTTTGATTTCTATTTTCTCACTGGCTAATGATATTAAGCATGATTTCCCATGCTTATTGGGCATTTAGGATCACTTTTGTTGTTGTTGTGGGTTGTGGAGCCTGAACTCTGGCCTGGGCACTGTCCCTCAGCTCTTCAGCTCAAGGCTAGCGCTCTACCACTTGAGCCACAGCGCCACTTCAAGCTTTTTCTGCTTATGTGGTGCTGAGGAATCGAACCAGGGCCTCATGCATGCAAGGCAGGCACTCTACCACTGAACCACCTTCCCAGCTCTGGGTCACTTTTAGCAATGTAACTATTCACATGGTCAGCACAATTTTTAATTGGACTGCGTCTTTTCATTGTGTTAAAAGTTCATCCGCAAACTGTCATCTTTTTTATAGTCAACTAATTTACTCATTCTTAATTACGCTTGAATCTCTCATTAAACAAAACTAGCCACTAAAGTTCAAAAACCTCCAAACATGTCACATGTCACTTAATTACCAGGGCAAGGCTTCCTGAATGAACTCCCTTGATCTGCCCCAACACAATTTTTTGAGAGTAACTCAATAGGTAACAATCCGTGAAAATTCATCACAATTACAACAAGCAGACCAACTTTATAATAAACTTTCTTTCAAGGATCCAGCATCCATCCTGCCAACAAACTGCTTATTCTGAGGATTAAAAGAAAAAAATACCTCTGGCTATTTTACTTATTTCAACAAAAGAAGTGGGACCAAAGCATTCTTAACCTTAACTTGACTCCTCTTTCTAATTCTTGTCCTAAACTATTGTTTAGCCAGTCACTCTTTGTGATCAGATTTGTCTTGAAATCTTCTAAGGCAACAAAGAGAGTTTAAGTAGGAAGCCATCTTCAGATTAAACAGTACTATTTGTTAAATTCCCCACTGAAACTTTCCTAGAACTGTCAAAACTCAATTCACTAATTTTAAGGTTTGGTTGCTAGACTCTTGATTCTGTCTCACTGGTTTGTATGTCTAGCCTTACTCTAATACCAACATCTCTGGTTATTGTAGCTTTATAGTTTTGAAATTAGGAAATGGCTTCCTTTTTCTTTTTCATGATTGTGGTAACTATTCTGAGTCCCTTAGAGTCCCTCACAAAGGTTTGGATCAGCTGATCTGTTTCTGAAGACAGTTGGGGTTTTGATAGAGATAACTGAATCTGGGGAGCAGTTTGGGAAATGTTAACAACATTAAGCCTGTCGATCAATAAGCACAGGCTGCCGTTCCATTTGTCTAGGTCTAATTTAACTACTTTGGGAAAAGTAGTTTCAAAGCCATTTTTGCACTTAAAACATTTCTAAGTATTCACTTCTTTTGGATGATCTTACAACTGAATTTTTTGTTTCCTGAACTTCACTTTTATTTACTCATTTTTCTTTTACAGGAGTATAACTGATTTTGCATTATTTGTATTTGTATCACTCTGCTAAACTCATTTATTAGTTCTTAATGTGTGTGTGTGAGTGTGTGTGTGTGTGTGTGTGTGTGTGTGTGTGTGTGTTAGCAGTGCTGGGGATTTGTACTAAATGCCTTGTGTTTTCTAGGCATGTATTCTACCACTTGAGAGACATTCCCTCAGCTCTAGTTTGTGTATAAAGCATACACACATGTACACTTACACACCCACACCCATACACATATTGGCAGTACTGGGGTTTCAACTCGGGACCTCACATCTGCTAGGCTAGTATTTTACCATTTTAACTATGCCCACAGACCTGCTCTTGACTTTAGAAACAGAATCTAGTAAACTTTTCTGCCTAGGCTGCCCTTGAACTGTGATCCTCCAGACTGCAGTTTCCTGAGAAGCTAGGATTACAGCAGCACCAGGCTTAACTTTTTAATGGACTCCTTAGGACAGTCTACCTGCAAGACGATGCCATCTGCATGATAGTTTTCTCTCTTTCTATCTGGATGATTTTTTACTTTTTTTTGTTATCCTGGGGAGAGCTTCCAGAATAATGGTAAGTAAAGGTGACAGCAGATAATTCTTTAAGGGAAAACATTGTGTTTTGCCACTGAACACCTGTGGGATTTTGTAGATGACCTTTATCATTTTAAAGAAGCTCATTTCTATTACTACTTTTATTTGGTTTGGGGTTCTTTTATCATGAAGGTATGGTATAATATCTTTTACATCTATTAAATAATGAACATATGACTTGTCCTTTATTGAAGTGGCAAATATGTTAGTTGATTTTAAGATGCATTCTTGATATAAATGCCCCTTGATCACAGTGTTTACATTTTTCTGCATTGCTTTATATTTGGCTTGGTGGTATTTTGCTAAGGACCTTTGCCATTATATTCCATGGGGTTGAAAAAAGATGCTCTGAACTGATAATAATTCTTTATGTTTGTCAGAATTCATCAGAAATGCAGGGCATGGTGGTGCATGCCTATAATATCAGCACTCAGGAAGCTGAGTCACAGGGAGACCCTGTCTTAACCAACAAAACAGAAAACCAGTGAAGCTATCTGGACCTGGACTTTCCTTTGTGAATTTTTGTATCACTGATTTAATCTCTCTACTAGCTATATGTCTACTCAAATTGTCTCTTTATTCTTGAGTCCATTTCAGCACCTTACGTCTTCTATTTCATCTCTAGTAGCTAATTCACTACCATGCAGCTGCCCCTAGAATTCCCTGGTCATTGTTTGCTTCATTAAGGTCAGGAGTACATGGGAATATGCTTCTAACTGCCTATGCTAAGAGCACAGTGTGTTCAAATTCTCACCTTTTCATATAAAATCCAAATGATGTGAATAGATCTATTTCAGTTCACAGTATTTACCATTTATTAAAACAGAAGTGCTGGGGAGATTTCTCAAGTTTCTTTCACTGTTTTCACCACCTCATTTTTGACTCAAATCTGAGACACAAGGTGGCCTCCTAAGTTCTCCTCAGTAGGGTCCATTTCCCCCAGAACAGGACAGCTGTTCCTAACTCATCTCAGGTTCTAAGTCTCTCACCAGAGACTCACACAGTGGAGGAGCAACATGGAGACGGATCTGTCCACAAACCTGTTTTCTCCTAGGACAATAGAGATGTGTGTGTGTGTGTGTGTGTGTGTGTGTGTGTGTGTGTGTGTGTGTCTTTGTTCTCTGATATCAAGGTACTGGAGGAGGACTTGTCACTGCTTTTCTCTTCAGGATAACAGCAAAGCCAACCAGCCAGGGTGAAGTCTTCTCTTGTTAATGAATGCAAGAGAAGAATGTTTCTAACAGATCCGCATCCCAGATTACTCGTCTGAAGTCATGTTCCCTTAGACTTCAACACAATCTACAACATTTAGATATTCTCTTCTGTAATAAAAAAAGATGAGAACCCAAGATCTAACTCTTTTTATAATAAACAGGTAATCTTTAGCAGACATAGGAAAGTGGAACTCACATAAAAATTGGGGTGGAAACATTTTAATAGAGATATCATCTCTAAAATTACAGATGGGTCACTGATTGATCACTCAACTGTAGTTGCTCATAAAGATAATTATTAACTCTTACCTTACACTCATCATAATGAAAGGGGGACATGGATCAAGATGCATTGTGCTCCTAAACTGACATGTTGAATTGAAACGCTTTGTGCAGCCACTTAAAGATTATTAAATATTTTTAATTCATCATGATAAAAGTATATCTGATGTTTCTTTTGTTATTTCTTCTAGAAAAACTGTCCTTGAAAGCCACCTGTCACTTAGTGGTGCACATGTTTGGGCCAGACATCATAAAACTGTGAGTACGACACAGTAAAGGTAAATCTGCTCTGGCTGCTGCAACCTGGGAGGAGGGCGGATTTCAATTCAGCCCTTTTCAAGGATGTGAGCATTTTATTTCATACCTTGTTAATTGTGGAACAGTGAGACCTGGTCCATATAGTTTGCCATTCTAGATAAAATTCTGCTTAAATTACAGTGCAGGAATCCTGCTTAATCCTCTCTAAAGGCCTTTCAAAGGCAATTTCACACATAACACTGACAAGGGACCCAATCCTGTGCTGTTGGTCAGCAGAGTGGTTAGTTGATCCTCTCCCTCCAACCCCTCTCCCTCCTTGGACTCCCTGGCCTCATTCCTCCAGGGAACAAAGATTCAACTTCTTGGCCGTGAAGGAAATGCAAATGAAAACTACGTTGAGAGTTCATCTCAGCCCAGCCAGAACAACCATCACCAAGAAATCAAACATTAACAAATACTGGCAAGAATGTGGGAGAAATAAATTCTTATACACTTTTGGGAGGGAATGTAAATTGGTTTAGCCAAAACGGAAATTTGTGTGGAGATTCCTAAAGAACTACTAAAGGACCCAGCCACATAATCCCTGAGCATATAACCAGAAGAATCAAATACTTGTACTGTCACATTTATCATGGCACTATTCACAATAGACAAGCTATAGAATCAGCCTAGGTACCTATACTGATGAATAGATAAAGAAATTATAATATATATATATATATATACACACACACAATGGAGTTTTATTCAAACATAAAGAATGAAAATAGGTAATTTGTAGGAAAATGAAACTAGAGATCATGTTAAGCAAAATAAGTGAGACCTAAAATACTGGGAAAAGTACTGTGGCTCACACTTGTAATCCTTGCTACTGAAGAGACAGAGATGGAGAGGATCACAGTTTGAGCCACCTCAACAAAAAGTTTGCTTGTAACCAGCTCCCAACTCTGAACCAATGAAACCTGGTAGTAACACATATGTAATCCCAGTTATGAGGGAGTGGCCCAAGCAAGCCTGGCAATAAATAAAAGACCATACTTGTCTAACTGAAGCAAATAAGGCCAGGGCCTTGGCTCTCCTGTTAGAGTTCCTGCCTAGCAAGTTGAAGACCCTGAGATCAAATTTCCACATCAGGTTCACTTGCTTGAGATTGCGTTCTACCTGAAGGCAAAGGAGAATGGGCTCTGCCTGATATGATGGTTTGGCTCTGGTGGGCCAGGATTGTTACAGATGGACTGGAAGCCTTAGGTTAAAAACAGAGATTAAACAGACTCCTATTTATCACTCCCAGTCCCCTAAATACCAGACCCCCCATAAAGATAGCATTCATTAATTAAACAAATGACCCATTAAGTTGAAAACAGATGTGAGAAAACAAGCACCCTCTCCTGATTTACAAGGCCTTGGTAGACATTAGTTGTGTTCATGGGTTTTTATCTGTCACAGACAGCTTGCCCCAGTGCTTGAAAGATTTGGTCTCCTACATTCCCACCATGCCTGCCCCACCCTCCTCCACCCCTGTACAGTAGGAGACACTCAGGATGAATTCAAAGACCTTCTCAGAAAGAGAAGCCATTTTGTTAGCGCCTTCATTAGCTGGAATGCAACTTGGGGACCCACACTCCCAGCCTGAGCATCCTCACAGACACAGCTTGCCTCTATCTATGCAGAATTATGTGACCTGACCGTGTGGGATAAGATACATTTTTCTCTAGTACAAAGTAGATGAGGGTACAAGCAGAAGGGAAAAGGGTGGGCATCAATTCTTAAAGCCCCTTCTGCATTTGAAGGACTGATAGTCCTAGTTTTTAAAAAAAAGAAAAATTATTAGAGAGTTTAAAAGGTGTTTGGATGTTCAATGAGCATGAAAACTGCTACTTGCTCACTGAGTAGGAAGCAAAGGTTTTCATTTGTTGTTTTTACTCTTTCTAAATCTCATTTGCTATTCTGCATGTCTAGGCAAAATATCTCCTCTGGTGGTAGGGGGGGTCTGAGCCTGTGCAGAGTGTGTCAGGGAAATCAGGTGCAGATGAGAGTGAACAGGGAACAAATTCAATGTCTTCTATTCAGGCTTCAGCCCACATGGAGCAAAGGAACTCAGAGATTGACCTGTGGTTGAAGGCAGTCACAGAAACAAAAGCATTGTGACCTGGTTTATAAAAAAGGAAGAACAGGAAGTGGCATTGTGGCTCAAGTGGTAAAGTGCTAGCCTTGAGCTGAAGAGCTGAGGGACAGCACCCAGGCCCAGAGTTCAAGCCCCATGACCAACAAAAAACAAAGAAAGAAAGAAGGAGAAAGAAAGAAAGAAAAGAAAAAGGAAGAGCAGGAAGAGGAGGGGCCGGGAGAGAGACAAGAAGATGGTGGTAGGGTAACAGTAATTGTGATTATGATAGTCCTTGTGATTGCAGGGGCAGATCTCAATAACATAGGACGGACACCATCCTGCAACTCAAGGTCAGGGAGGTATCCAGGCCTACAAAAGAGCTGGAAAACAGGACAAGGAAACCAAGGAACCCAGGCGTCCTCACCCTATATCCCTGGGTTCTGTTCCCTGCTGGCTCGCTTTCCAGACAGTCCATATAGTGGGAAAGGACTTCCCCAGCTCACGATGGTTCCTCTTCTTAGGAGAATATCCCAGACTGAAACTGAAACATGATTATTATTGTTGTTGTCATTGTTATCTCTAAATAGTTGCACATATCCATTTTATGAGCGTAAGACATCTTGATTAGTGAAGCCCCCTCCGTCATTCTGCATCTAGCCCAACTCCACCCACCCTCTCAAGTGACCTGGTTCCATTTTCACATCTGTATATTGAGAATTACGACTATTTATACCCATCATTCCTGTCTCCATTCATCTACCCCACTGCCTTTAAGCTTCACCTACCTCAGACAGAACAAGTTCCAACTTCTTGGCATTCATTTTGTTCAACTATCAGTTGATTGTTCAAATGAGCTACACCATGGGAATCCACTCCTGTGTGTTCCGTGCTCTAGTCAGTTTGACTGTGTATACACATATGGCTTACAATGTATTTTCATATATGTTTATGATTTAGATCTGTCTTCTAGACATGAGAGAAAATATGTTCCAGTGTCTCTCTGAGCATGATTTCCTTTATGCAACATACATTTTTCCAGGTCCATTTGTTTCCCTGCAAATGACATACATTATTCTTTCTGACATACAAATTAAATTCCATTGTGTACCTGCATACTACATTTTTAAAAAACTTACTCATTGGTTGTAGGGCATCTGAACAGTGAAGCAATGAACATGGGTGTATGGGTGTCTTTCTTAAATCCTGACTTGTAATCTTTTTAACGTCAAGTCCAAATTTTCCTTAGAGAGAATCTAATTGGTCAGCTGGCTGGAAGAGCACAGAGTCTAGTTACCCACCATCAATTGTGACCCCAAAATAGTAAATAGAATATTCCAGAAATACAAATCTCATCAGTTTTCATAAGTTTTATTGTGAATAATATTAGAATTTCTCTATTTTTACTAATATGAGTTATTGCTCATCTCTTATGATGCCTAATTTACAAGTTAAACTTTATAATGGGTATGGGTGTACCCATACTATCTGCAATTTCCCACATTTGTTGAAGTAGATTGGAAGTGTCCTGATATAAAATATGGAACTACTGACTACAGATGGTTTTCAGGTATCCACCCCTTGGGAGAAAAGGCAGATAGTTGATGGTCATGTGATCCTGGAAGAAACCTCAAAAGTGTTTTCTATAATTCACCACTGTTCACCCATACCATTCAAGGATTTACCCCAATTGCATTTCCCAGTGGTTTGTGGCTTGTTGTTTTGGTTTAAATAAGTATTGTGCTTGAGTACTTTGCTATTTCATGCAAAGCAGCACATTTAATATGAATTTTTTTTGGTCAGTAAAGTTTTTGGAAGTAACAAAATGGAAATGAACATCAAACTTTTGCTACTGCCCTTCAAACCTAAACACAAATCAAAGTATTTGAACATTTCCCATGACCATCCCCAGTCATAGAAACAAGTGAACTATATTGTGTTTTCTTCCAGAAGAATAAGAAACATGAGCCAGGTGCAGGTAGCTCACGCCTATAATCCCAGCTACTCAGGAGGCTGGGATCTGAGGATTGCAGCTCAAAGCTAGTCCAGATAGACAATTCCAAGAGACCCTTATCTCTAATTAACCAGCAAAAAGTCTGCAGTTGAGGTATGGCTTAAGTGGTAGAGCACCAGCCCCAAGCAAAAACACTAAGTAAGAGCCTAAGGTCCTGAGTTTAAGCCAACATACCAACACCACACACACACACACACACACACACACACACAGAGTATAATATGCTTACTTTAAAGATGAGGACCTAATTTGTGTTATAACTTAGAAAATAATTTAGGTTTTTAAGACTGCATCCTAAATTATGTTGTGCTATAAAGCTCTGTAAATTTCAAAATATTATTCTCATTAAAGGATAGCCCTGTCCATTGTCCCCTCCCCAATTGGCTTTGGGGCTTCCCTTATAGAGAATCTTATAACTCGGAGCTGTGCTGGCCTCTCTCTATCCCCCAGGAGCTTGTTCTAAATGAAGGTAAGATCAAGGTGCAAGGTTATCATCAGCCCCTCCACCAAATGGGGCTCCAGGGTTGGGCTGTGATGAGTTTAGGGCATGAGAGCCCATTCTGGGCATCTACCTTCTTTTGAGATAGCTTCTATTCCTGCTGCCTCAAAGAGCTTACTGGCCTTTGCTCTGCCCATGTCCCTCCAGGCTCGGTACAGCTGTGAATGCAGATGTAGTGTGTCACACACTAGAATTTTGTAAGCAAGCTGCTGGACAACCCCAGTGCCATCTTTACCCGCTTCCCAAGGTGAGTAGGTTCCACTCTGAGCATCAAGAACACCTAGGCCCCAACTAACATCACAAAGCAGTGCTCAGCCTCGTCTGTTCCATGGTTTGGGGACAAGATGGTATTTCCAATTACTCTCAGATTCACCCCTGACCCTTTCCCCAGGCTGTGAACAATGTCTTGACTGTGCAGCTGTCCCGGGCTGGGCTGGCAGTGGGGAACAGAGCTGATCAGCTGAGGAAAGGCTTCATAACCACATACAAACCAAGTGAATCACTCTTACAGGGCTGACCCACTTCACCCCAGGCTGTGCAGGGCTTTTCTAGGAAAAAACTGGATAGTTGATTACCTTAGTTCAAGCTTTATTGTCTTTAATGAATCTATCGGTATAGGAAAGCATTCGTTCACAGCACTATCATTGGAAATCAGCTAGCACATATTGGCTTTAACACATTAAAAAAGTATTAATAAAAATGGTATCTCATAGGATTATTACTATCATTATCATTTAGGGATAGTTGTCCAGAACACCCTGTGTATTATGTTGGGCAACCTTTAATTGGATTGCAATCAGAAAGTAGGATGCCCAAGTGAACACAATTCCCTCCCACACTCCAGACCAACATAGAATATTAAATCTAATTAGGCTTCACAGTAGTGATTTTCACAAGCTTCTCATCAGAAAAGATTTTCCATACTACTTTTCCTGGAATTGTGGGTTGTTATGTTTTTCTGTATATGCTACAGTGGGCTTCTGCTTTAATGATCATTTTCTTTGTACTCATGTTGAAATGAAATCAGTTGTAATAACTTACATCCTAACCAAAGCACACAATTTTGCTGACTAGCAGTATTAAATATCATCAACCCGTCTCCTGAGGCAGGAAGAAAGGAGATAGGTCACCGACTTTGTGCCAACTACATTTCTCCAGTTCTTCCTGAGAAGCTGTGAGTTCCACTACTTTCTGGAAGTGTTAGTTAATTTTTTTAAATTTTTAACTGAGGGGGAAAAAAACCCATGACTCATGTTTAAATGGCAGGTGAATATCGTAGCATTGCCATGGTTGTTTGGTATTACAGAGAGGGAGCGTGTGTGTCATCTCTGTGTAGAACGCCAAGTGTGGTGGTCAGCTTTCATCCCTATGACAAAACTCCTGACAGAAGCAATTTTTTAAAAAAGAGGGAAGGTTTGATCGTTACCTGCAGTTTCAGACCTTTCATTTCCACGGCAACTCTCTTGGTTCCATTTCCAGGCTCCATGGTGAGGAACAGCATGGTGGTGGAAGAGTGGGAGGGGATAAAGCTGCTCATACCAGGTGGCCAGGAAGCAGAGACAGAGACAGAGAGACAGAGACAGAGACAGAAACACAGAGAGACAGAGACAGACTGAGAAGAGGAGCAAGGAGCCCCCCACCGGGCACACCCCTGAGGCTTTCCAGCATCCCCAGGTCACCCATTAAGTTATGAACCCCCACTGAAGGATGAGTCCGCTGACACCCAGGCGCTTCCCCAGCGCTCCACGTCTGGGCCTGCACCCTGGAGAGCCAGGCCCTCAGCTCATGGGCTATGGGGGACAGTTCCCACCCAAAGCACAGCAGCCAGGGATGTAGGCTTTACAAGTTCCATAATGGCATCATGTTGCACATACCATAAACCTACAGCTGTACAGGCTCTCAGAGTGCTCCACTTCAAATTGCCCCCTTTAGTTCTGTACACCCAGATCTTCACTTCCTTGTGTCCCGTGTACAATTCTAATTCACCTTAGCCCTGTGCTGCAGCTGGTGGAGAGCTGGAAGAATTTCCATCTCCAAGTGACTAGCGTGGGCCCCAGCTGTACATCCGTTGTTGTTGGCCTGCTTGCTTCTGCTCCCTCCCCAGCTCCCTTCACTTCCTGAGGGTGAGGGGCTTAAATCTTAAATCTTAAATCCCCCACAGGACCTCTATCTATGCAGATGAGCCTGTTGGTATTGAACCTGGACAGCTTTAGTCTCTTCCGCCTAGAGATTTCCATGACTAGCAGGAATCCTTGTCTACTGACCACTTGTCTGTGGGTCAAGAGGCCACTGTCCATCTTGCTCAGACCCTTTCCCCCCCCCTCCACACACACACAGATGCCATATGCAGGATGCAGGCTTTAGTATTACCCCTTGGTCACAAGTGGGGACTGAGGACTAGAGGGTCAGTATCTGAGCTGTGCCTGCTCTTCTGCTTGCAGGGATGGACTAGGGTTCTTACCACCGAGTCACTGCTTCTGAAACTACCCTAGGTGTCTCTTAGCAACAGCCCACCGAAATCCCACCACCACCAGAAAAGCCCAGTGTTACAATATTATCTGCTCCCCTTTAAATATTTTAAACTGAGTTCTTTGTTCTCAGAGTTTGCGTTACATTGAAGTTGCATCTAATTTGCTGTACCTAATTTGTGACCAGGAAGGAGATCCTGCTCTTAGCTTTTGAGGACATGTTTTTAGATGGTGTATATATACTTTTTCTTCATCTCCATGTCATCCAAGCCATTCTAAAAAGAAACAAAAACATGCAGGGACTGGGAATGTGGCTTAGTGGTAAAGTGGTAGAGTGATAGAGTGCATGAGGCCCTGGGTGTGATTCCTCAGCACCACATAAGCAGAAAAAGGCAGAAGTGGCGCTGTGGCTCAAGTGGTAGAGCACTAGCCTGAGCTGAAGAGCTGAGGGACAAGTGCCCAGGCCCAGAGTTCAGGTCTCACGACCGACAAATCAATCAATCAATCATGCAGGAATTATTATTAAGAATTATCTAGTTACTGAAGGTGGGTTTAATGTATGGATAACAGATGTAAAAAATTTTCCCCCATCAAAAATATTCCACATGACTATCCTAGTGAATACCCCTAAACTGGTCATTATCCTAAAATTCTATCACGTTAGTTTATTTATATAAAATCCTAATTTCATACTTCATCTAAGTGGAATTATACATTATAGAAGGTTCCCAAGTTACAATGGTAGTAGGACTTCTTCTCCTTCTCCTCCTTTTCCTCTCCCTCCTCCTCCTCTCCCTCCTCCTTCTCTTCCTCTTCCTCCTCCTCCCCCTCCTTCTCCTCCTCCCCCTCCTCTTCCTTCTCTTCCTCTTCCTTCCCCTCCCCCTCCTCCTCTTCCTCTCCCTCCTCCTCTTCCTTCTCTTCCTCTTCCTTCCCCTCCCCTTCCTCCTCTTCCTCTCCCTCCTCCTCCTCCTTTCCCTCCTCCTCCTCCTCTTCCTCCTCCTCTTCTTCCTCCTCTTCCTCCTTTTCCTTTTTCTATATACTAGGACGTTGTGTTTGCCAGGCAGGTACTCTACTGCCGATCCTGGTCCCCAGCCATTTTTGCTCTGGGACTCACTATTTGCCCAGCTGGCTTGGACCTCTCTCCTCCTATTTATGCTCCCTGCCATTTATGTACCCTACCACACCCAGCCTTTTCTTTGGGTCTTAAGAACTTTGTTCCTGAGCTGACATTCAACCACAGTCCTCTTGATCTCAGCTTCCCAAATAGCTGAGATTACAGGCATGAGTCACTGTACCCAGCTCTGACTTAGAATTTTTTGACTTACCAATTACACAAAAGCAATATGCATGCACATTCTGAGTTTTAAAGTTTGATCTGTTTTGCGACTGTTGAGTGGAGGCTGCCTCTTTCTTTGAGAATCAGGGCAGTGGCAGTGAATTGTGGCTTCCTGTCAGCCCCAAAGGCACCGGGGCAAACACCAGCGACTCTGTAACACTCGTTGCCAGCATTTGGGGATATGGTGTTTTCAAAGCCCAGCCTGTCTACTGAATACCCATCTGCGTGTGTTCACGAGGCAGTCAACACTGCGTGGTAAAACAGGCTGCATGTGAGACGTAGATGGGTTTGCCCAACTCTAAACTAATGTAAATGTTTTGGCACATGGCGGTAGCAGGGAAAGCTGTATTGACGGGTGGGTTAGGCATAGTGAATGCATTTGCCATCTCATCTCAACTCTCACCTTCTCCATTGGCTTATCCCAAACTCACCCAATAAAATCGTGACTCAGCTCTCCACGACCAACATCAGGTACTTTCCAGTGCTCACAGTGTGCTGATGCTGTTCCAGATGCTTTCTGTTTGTTTCTCCTTTGATTGTATGAAGTAGCTGTTGTTCTTGTGGTCCATGTTTCATAGAGTAAGCTGTTGAAGCCATGCAGATTTCCTTTAAGCCTGTGGTGAGGGAAAGGGAGAGAAGAAGTTGTGTGTGGGGAGACTAAAAGGTCAGGCAGGCATTAGTTTTGTTTAAGACTTTATTGCTGGGGGTGTGGGGGGGAGTATTGGAAATTGCATCCAAGGCCTCTTGTACTTGAGCTACGCTTCCAGCCCTCTTATTACCATATATTAGTTATACAAGTGAGAATTTATATGGCCTTTCCACATATGCATGCAATGCAGCCCAGATTCCCCCCTCCATCTCTTTCCCCCACTGCCCCACCCCACTTCTGAAACAGTTTCAGCTGGCTTCTTCCTTCAGCTTTCACACAAGCATGTAAAGTAGATGGGTCTTGTTTATACTCATCCATCCTCTCCCTTGCTCCTCCCTCTTCCCAGCAGAGCTCGTTTCTACTTTCCTGTCACTCATTTTTTATTGCATTTACATTAGTATGCATTTGTAGTGTGAGAGGGTCTCACTGTGATATTTCCATGGATGCCTGGCGCAATGAACTCTAAACAAATTCACCTCCTCCGCAATTTAGTGTCTATTGATTGTACAGAGGGGGTTTTATTGCTTCCCCTTCCTCTCATCTGTACACAAAACAGAACTGTGATCCTGGTGTGTGTGCGTGTGTGTGTGCATGTGTGTGTGTGTGTGTGTGTGTGTGTGTGTGTGTGTGTCTGTATGCAAATGCCTGACTCTGACACCACAGCTCACAAACCAGAATTGAATACAGTTCCTTCGTGCCTAGCCAATGCCTCTTTAACTCTCTCTTTTGTAGGGTCCAGGTGTGACATGGCAAGTCCACACTTGGGCCTGGGGCACCCTGACTCCTTAGTTTCC